AACAACCTCTATACAACGAAAGGAGACTGCGACCACACAAAAGGCCACACCATCTTGGTATTCATACCTTACTTTACTTTGTTGGGGAGACTCTTGTTTAGTATGAAAGTGCTTGAACAAAAGATTCGTAAGTTGATCTCATCAGAAGACGATGGCCGATCTCCGTCGTACTACAGCCTTTTGGCTTCAATACGACGTTCAGGTTGACGCAGTTTACGATACATTCTTACTCGTTCTATTGAAAATGGATTGAGCTTTCGTCCATCATGTGATGGAAATTATCAGAGCTGGAACTCATTTTTGTAAGAGTCCCATGCTAACATGAAATCAAGAAGAATTTCCGATTATATCTTACCTCGTGTGTTTATACTAATAACTATAAAACGAAAATGTATATACCAAGACAATATATAGAATGATTTGGCTAATTATCTCTCATGTTGGTCATGCTGCTTTACTCGAGTGTGTGTGTGTAAATATTATTGTCAATGCTCAATATCGGTCCTAAATCAGATTGTCCAAAATATGCAAGCAAAACTGCTGTAGAAGAACGACAATTAGCCGTCGTCTTCTGGTGAGATCGACTTAGGAATCTTTTCTTAGTGCACAAGATTGTCTCAGGAGATTCATCGGAACCCAGTCACTCTCCGTATCTACAACTTAATTTGCCCAAAGTGGTGTTCACCGTTTCGTGCCAAAACATGTCTGGTAGAAGGCATTTTTTTCATTTATTATGCTCACTGTCTTGGCAACCATGATGGGTACAATGGGTCTGTCTGCACATCTGCTCGTCTGCCTGATGGGCTGCCATTCTAGCACAGGAAAGTCGACTGATCCGGCAATCTGCACAAGAAGCTGTAGGTTGGTGGAGTCGACGTCTATCCGAACCGGCCCCCCGGCCAGCCGTAATCGTCAAGCACCGGAGTGAATCGCTTCGACGGCCACGGCAACGAGGCGTAGCCGTTGCTAACGCGAACTGCTCCATCTCCAGCATTCGGAATAGAGTCGTAGTCTCCAAAGTCAACGTCTGACTGGCCGACGTCTTCAACCTTGGCCGAATTGACCGGCCAGGCCCTTTTAATCGGAGGAATGTATCGTTTTTCACCTCTGCCATCGGTATCTCGGCCGGTCGGGAGTGTTTGCCAGCGCCCAAATGCGCCGGACGAGTCGGCCTGACGACTGTGCTCCGATGGGCTGACATCTTTCTTTTCACCGACCGAAACCGATGTGAGGCTGTGCCCAGAGGAGGGACATGGCAAGGGAAGAAGACCGGCCCGGCTGGCCAGCGCCGTAACGCTGGGCGCAACTGAGTTGGTCAGCACCAGAAGAAGGATGATGAGAAACAGATTTGAGGCCAAATGCTGCTGGAGCTGAGGTCCGGCCGGGCCTTGGAGTCGAGCCCGCAGGCCAGACGGAGAAGCCTGCTGCGACATGACGATGTCGAGAGGCTGTAGGTGTACTGTCGTCAGGCAAGAGAGAAACGGGGTTACATCTTTTCATCAGAAGCTCCTCGCCTCAAGAGCCACAAAGTCAACCCAAACTCAGTTCGTCTCGGGTCGGTTAACAAGCCAACCTTAGCGTCACCCCAATTTCTAAGTAAGCAGGTTTTCGAGAATAATCGGTAGTTCTCGAATAAGAACCTACGTCGCTTAAGCTGAGTTCACTCACAGACTCAGACAAGTAGGCCTCACGGTGCTGATGAATTTCAGTTTTATGTGTAGCTAGGCCCTGACGATTAAAGCGATCACATGTCCCGGTTTCTGTTAATGGGGCATATTTAGCTCTAAAAAAAGTAGGCATAACCAAAAATTATTGTTGCTCATATCCTTCATTTACTAGTTTGTCCAGCTTCAAATAAAAATGGAACGATGTGAATGTTAGAACGTGACAAAAGGTCGTAGCTTTTCTAGCCCTGATCGAATAGTATCCACCTAAAAAATTTGTTTCTTATACAAAAAAATATTATTTTTACTAGGACCTAAAGGAAAATTATGTGGCAATGCTTGCTATCAGCAAGCCATATACTCCCAATAAGCAGTGACTTCACAATTGCAACCTTAATTATGTGACCCTGGTAGGAAATAAAATTCGGAATAGAACTAATATATGCTGATTTCCCATAAAAATATCTGCCTAAATTCGCTGATAATCAGAAAATTCTTTTCCAACTTCAATGCGC